TATTTTTTGGCTCATAAGAATACATAAGGTTGCTTGTAAGTTGTAGTATCAATAAACGTACTGTTGTTGTAGGCAGCTAATAGCTTCCAAGATTATGTTTCCTACAGTGGTGATGGGCAGTGGGAGCATTTTGAAGGCAGCTTGCTGCTAGGAGTCCTGACACCATCTGGCATTTTTGGGGAACTACCAACCTCTTAAACTCAAAAATCATGGAGCCAGCTCTTCATCCCTTTGATTATGAGGTGAAACTGATATTGCATTTTCTTCTTTTTATTTTCTTAATGTTTACACCACTCCATTACTGGTGGGTGAGTGGGGTGCAGGGGTGTCTAATCCAGCAGAACTAACTTGCCCACATATAGAATTAAGATGGCTCTAGCTCGGCTGCAGGAGCACTTGCTGAAGAGACCCTGCTGAGATCCAGTGACCCAGATCTTTATAAAGTGCTGCCTGACAGTGCAGGGAGCTGACAGCTTCTCCCCATCCCCACACATTCCAATTAATTAATGCTGTTCTCCTCCAGCCAGGCAATCAATTACACATTGCCCAGACCCAACATCCATTTTCCCCCCAGCCACACACCTGCTCCTTCTGCATCTCCAGGGGCTTCTCATCCTCCTCCCAAGCCAGGTGATGCAGCGGGTGGGGAAAGGAGCTGGGAGAAGCATGCAGACAGGGGGGAGGGAGAACAGAGGAAGGAGACTGTCTGCCCTGAGCAGCTGGGTTCTTTCTGCCCTATTTCCTCCTCTCCTTCCTGTGAGAATAGGAGCTAGCTCATCTCAACAGCAATTACAGAAGCTTGAGAATAGGAGAAAAGGCCATGCCTGCCTTATGCAAGAGCTCTGATTGGTTGCCTCTTTCCCAGGAGGTGGGCCAGTAGGGAAGGCAGCCAATAAGAAGAAGTTGGGTGGGAAAGGCCTTGTGAAGTAGAGCTTCTCAGATGGTCCCAACTCTTACTTCCTATGCTGGCCTTGCCCACAGGAGCGTGGACATTTGGTTCCCTTGGTACAACTAGCAGCGGCACACCTTGTCCCTGGGGAATGCCTATGCCACGTGACCTATGGTGCGCAGCAGGTTACCCCAGGTGGGGTAGGCCTGTTTGTCCACCTTTAAAAAACAGGTGGGCCCAGCCCACCAAGTCCCTCGGCCTCCATTAGAGGGAAGGTCACAGGAAAAGGGGATACTAGACTTCATGGGACAAAGAATGAAAAAAACACGAACAGGAGCGTAGGTCAGAGGTTCAAAACAAGTGTGTCGCCTGGGTGGGGTAGGGGAGCACTGGACTGGCCCCAGCAGCCTTATCTGGGGGCCTCTTAGGGCTGCAGCAGCAGCTATCCTGCTGCTCAGAGCCTGACTGGCAAGTGGAGCATGTCTGTGACTGGCCAGGCTCGTTTTGGTCTGCACTTGCTGTCCCCACGTGAGCCTCCCTGTTTTTTTTCCCCATGGTTTTGACCCCAGGATCTCCCAGGATCAACACCGCCCCCCTCCCCGTGCTGCTACCTTGCAGCACAGAGAATACCTGTATGTGCAGTATGTGGTGCCACAGATGTGTCTGTAGTGCAACATACTGCATGGATGTGCTCATCTGGACACAGCCACTGGGAGCATCAGTGGGTCTGTGCTCCTCCTAGCAGGAGGAGCCAGAGAGGTCTAAGAGACCATGTAAGGGAAGAGAGAAGGGAGAGTACTGGAGGGGTTAGGGTGGCTGTTAGTGGTGAGAGAAGGGAGATTCAGTGGGAGGGAACTTGTAAGCAGCTAGGGAGGGCCAGGCAGGAAGGTATACATCAAAGGTGGAAGGGAGTCCTGAGATTTAGGGAGAAGTTGCAATGGTGCGGCTAGGGAGGTTTGGGAGGGCCAGGTGGGAAGATCCACAGGGTAGGTGTAGGTGGAGGTCTGGGCACCAGCTACGGTTTGCAGTGGCCAAGATTTAGAAGCAGGTAGACTTGGCAGACACTTGGTGCAGGTAGAGCTGTAGGAGAATGTGGCTAAAGGGAGGACTGCTGGGGGGAAGAGGAATAGGGGTAGGAGGGAACTGATGCTGATGTGGGGGACCAGTGCCCTACTGTGAGTAGCGGGCATTGCCCATATTAACTAAAAAAAACCCCCAGCCATACCCAGTTCCCTCTCTCTTTCAGCATTTGCTCCCTGCCCCTGTGTGACATGGGACATCTTTACTGAAAGGTGAAAGATTTCTGTGATCTGAAGAGAAACCAATGTAGGACCAACTGGGAAAGATGCACCTATGATCTGGTCTGACTGAAAGCATGGCAGCTCTTATGTACTTGACCAACTGTGAGCATGGTTTGCCTGGCACCCTCAGCAGAGATCAGGGGCCTGGGGCTGCTGGGCGCTGCACAGCCCCCTGCCTCCAAAGGATGCTCTTGCTGGGCAGCCTCAGCCAACCCTGGCAAAGAGCCCTCCCCTTCCCCTCCAAGGATCCATCCAGGCAGTGCCCCCTGGCACACTCACACACCGCTCTCACTCTCTCTGTCTCTCATATACACACACATAGATTTCTCTGTCACACACACATGCACAGATGCCTTGCGCACACACACATGCACACACATCTCTCACACACAGATGTAAACAGTGTCTTGCACACACATAGCTTTCTGCCTGACACATCTCTCATAACCAGAGATCTCTTGCACATACAATCTCTCACACATCTACACACACATCTACAGACACACACACAGAGCTGTTTCACACGCACAGAAATCTCTTGTACACACACAGATCTCACACACATCTAGACACACTCATAGAGCTGTCTCACACTCAACCTCTCACACTCATCTAGACACACACACAGCTCTCCCTCACACGTCTCACACACGTCTACACATACACAGAAGTCTTTCTGACGCACAGAAATCTCTTGTACACACGAATCTCTCACACGCAGAGCGCTCTCTGTCTCTCATGCATCTTGCACACGCACATGAATCCAGAACACTCTCACACACACAAAGCTTGCTCTCACACACACACACACACACAGGGCGTGCTCACACACAGGGACACAAACACACAGACGGTGCCCTAACGCGCGCGCACACGCACGCACGCACACACACACACACACACACACACACACACACGCCCAGACCCCCCGCGCCGCTGCTAGGTGGAGCCCGCGTCCATGCAGCCGGCGCGGGGGCCAGATCCGGGGTTGCGCCGGTCCCTCCCCGAGCCGCGCCGCGCTCGCTCAT